AGCACCAAGTCTGCTAGCCAGAACTCATTGGGGAAAGGGTGGGATAAAGCAACGTGACAGATTAGAAGTACAACTCTGGCATCAGTTATTATCTTGAAAGAAGAATGGATTAATGCCTAGGAGCTGCAATCTTGAGTTGCATTTTGATGCTCTTTTTGAAACTTCTTATTGTGTCTTTATAAGGTGTTGCCTTCTAAATTAATTTGAAGAGTATGTAGGAATTCCTTGCATTGAAGTTTATGTACTAATATCAAGTCATACTATTGTCAAGTCTCAGGTAGTAGAGGATAAATAAGACAGAATGTGACATTTGAGTGATTGTTGAATCAATGTAAATTAAAAGTATGAATGGGTATTGCACTCAGCAGAATGATTTCAAAGCTGGATATTACTTCAACATCTATTACCAACATAACCATTAAAAGTTAGGAAGTCATTAGAGTCCTCATTCAACCTTTGCAACCTACAACTTGACTTCATCATCTTAGCATTACTTCACCCACAGTTACCACCCACTGCACACATGTCTTCTGTCTCCATGTGCCTTCTGTCTGAGTCTGGAAACTGGGCTTCTTTCCTAATTCCTTTCCTGTCCCCACCCTTCCATATTTAAAGTGATTTTTTTTGTGTGAGAGTGCTTCAAGGCTTTTGTGTATAAGCAACAGTTCAGTGAATGTTTCTCTACACCAAAGGGACCTTCACCGATACCTCGGTGTGTGAACATTAATCCAAATTATGGCTACTGTTTTGTCTCCAAGTTTCTTCACCATTTCATGTTGCCTGTCTTTGTGTAATGCCCCATTTTCATTAGCTCTTTCACCATGTATTGCTATGTACAGGGGTCATTTTGTAGAAAAAGAGGTGCAAGCTCTCATTTGCATAACTCATTAGCATAGCTCATTTGCATATGTCACACCCCCTGACATCACCTGAAGTGTGTCAGAAGGCAACACCCACTGCTCAGGCTCCACTGGGACTCTTTTGGATTGCTAGATATTGGGGGGGGGGGGAATGCGCAGATCTGTCCACACAGAGGAGGGAGAGATTGTACCTGACATAAATTAATTATTTCACAGATTAATAAAATGAGCAACACCCTGCAAAAATTGACATTGAAAAGCCCCTCAATCAAACACAGATTTCTTACCATCAGAGCAGAAAACAGATTTTCAGAAGGGGGGAGAAGAGCAAAATTTTAAAGATAGCATGCAATTACTTTAGGACTGGCCTCTTTGGGCCAAGATGCGCTTCCGATGCACTTGCCACTTGTTGCCGGGAGAGCCAATGAGAAGGTGTGCGCCCTCTTTGAGCCTTTTGCAAAATGGTGCGGGGGGTGGAGAGACAACTTTGTTTTCAAACACTCCGGCCCTTCTCCCATCTGTCACTGCCTGCTGTAAAAGCCAGTGTTTGCAGAGATTGCCTCAGCCACTCACCCAGCAAGAGCAGGCAGTGGTGGGTCTGCTTGTACTCCCGCTTCTCGGCTTTCTGCTTTTTCTCTGCTCCAGGTCGGCTTTCTGCTTGGCTTTGATCTCCTGCTTGGCCACCGCCGCACTCCGAGACCTCTGTGTCTCCTGGCACATAGGGAGGGATTGGTGGGTGGGCGCCCCCCGCCTCAGCAGCCTGGGGCAGAAGCTGGAACACATCCTCATGGTGGCGGGCGAGAGATCCTTCCCCATGACCCCCGGGCCAGGCCAGGCCAGGCACGCGATGTGCAATCCAAGCAAGAAAGAAAAGACCTGAGTCGGCCAGTGGGAGAATGAGGGAGGGAGGGTCACCGCTCTCAGTTTCACTTCGGAGGAGAAGACCCGGGTGAGACTCTGCAGCCAGAAAGGCAGGAGGAGTGCGGAGCGGTCACCCTGCTTGCTGGCTGGTTGGCTTCCTCTGTCCCCCTGCTCCCAAATCCAGCCGGGGTGCCCTCTGGGCAGGTGGGCGCCACCTCCCTCTCCTCCTCCTCTTGGTGCAGCAGCAGGGGGAGAGGGAAGTGGACGGAGGAGTGCAAACCAGAGGAAGGAGAAAAGCGGTGGGGGGGGGGGGGAAAGAGGCACGAAGGCAAGAGTAAGGGTGCCTTCGTCTCTGGCCACTGCTGCACCTCTTCTGAAGAAGTGGGCATGTGCCGTGAGTGACTCACAGAGGAAGCGCCTCCCTGGCCATAAACGGGGTCCCTCTCTCCAGCATGGTGGCAGTGGTGGCTCTCTGCTGCTTCCCTCCGGCTGCAGGCTGGCAGGCAGGCTGGTGTCTGGCTACACAGCAGACCGAAGGACCGAGCCGGGTGGAAGGCATGGGGGAGGCGGCGGTGGGACCCCGGCCGCTAGAGACAGCTTCCTGCAGCAGCACCCCGATGACGACCTCTTGGTCGCCAGCCCTGCAAGGGCTGCTGGGAGCAGGGGATGGGGCTTGGTCATGTGCCTGCCCCCGGGCTCCTCACTCCTGAAGCACTGCTCCTGTGCACTCCGGCTCCAACTGACCCCTGGCTATGTGTATTTCTACATTTTGAAGCTTTGCTGAATTGCTTACAAGAAAACCTTTCCTCACCATCATGCAAACCATGGCACCATGCTGTGAGCATCTTCCCTTCAGTGTCTCCTCTTTTCGTACCTTCTGCATCTGCAGGTTACTCCCACTCTCAGACTTCTGTCTCTTTGCTAATGAAGCAAAGACACTTAAGATATAAAGCAGGCTTGCCATGATAGAAAACTGATAGAGCTGAATATCACTTTTGTAACATTTGGCCTAGCTGAGGAATAATACAGTTTTATGGATAATTTTAAGGGTGAAGGATATTGTGTGTTTGTAAGATACAGCAGTGTGTATGCATGTTTGTAGTCTGGCATTCTCTGTCGATGCTGAAGAAGACAATGTAATATTTCAAAGAGGGAATATTTGATGTATACATATTTTCCTAAAGCATTGGAAAACTTATTTTCTTACTGAAACATTATCATGCCAAACTGGGAGACTTGCTGTCGGTGAAGTGTGAAACTGCTTTGAGTCCTCCTAACTCTGGAGTCACAACCCGTTCCTCCCTGATTGTTAGTAGTATTGGTTGTGACCCTGGCATTACAAAGCAAATGGGAGCCAGGTGTAAATTATCCCTTGCTGTGTTTTGTGTGTGTTATGCTGTCTGTAGGCTGTGATGCTGGAAAATCTCAGGATTTGATCACTCCTGGGAAACTGTGAAAATATTTAATGTTAAAATTAATTGTATGTATTTTCATAAGTACAGCAGCACATCTGCAGCCATGACTTATAGAAATATAAGTACATTCTCAGCAATAGTAACAACATTTCAATGCTGATTTTTTGGATCATCACAATTTTGGTGCTTAGCAAGTGGTACCTACTATCAGCAGAGCTCTGTGTTTCAATAGGCCAGTTGTCTCAATCTGACAGTTTGTAAAAAACAGTTACAATACTGAGGCTATACTTTTATTTATTTTATTTATTTATATTTACATTTATATCCCACCCTCCCCACCATTTGGCAGGTTCCTTTTCTGGGAGTAAGCCCCATTGAATAAAGGCATGCAGAGGCAGTGTTAGAAATCATTTGTAAGTCTGGGAATCCAGTTGAGGGCCAGACTAGATGTGGTGGTGTCCTTGGGGCTGCCATGAGGACACTACTGCTGTTTTAAAGTCGTTTAATAATGTTGTGAGTGCACTGCCGGGCACTTGTTTCCCCCCATGCCTTTTCAAATGTCAAAACAGCTGAGAGGGATGGGGTGTGGCCATTTCAGCTCTGGATAGGGGGGTGCAAGAGTGCCTCAGCTTGCCTGATTGGGCCCTTGTGGCATTTTTAAATGACTTTAAAATAGTGGTGGCAACTTGTTTGGCCCTTAGACTCTGTAAATGAAGGGCAATGCCTGAAGTCCTGTAGTACCCACCTTCATGGAGACAAGGCCATTTAGGTTCCAGGTGAAATGTGGAGCAAGTGGTCCAGGAGAAGTGGAAGATGCCAACGTATATGCCCAACTGCTTCATCCCAGAGAACACTCTTTGCAAAGATTAGCCCTATGCCTCACAACATCAGGGTAGGAGGATGCACAAGAGAGGGAGAACAGTAAGCCAAGGGACATGACCCTAAGACATGAGGCTGGCAATGTGGCATGAAGACAGCAATGCAGCATCCAGAAATGTCTGATGACATTCCATTTGCTTTTTTTGTGTGTGCAACATGACTATGATCCTAAGCTATGTGTTTCCCTTCCTTATCTGGCAATGGGAAAAGCCTAGGCTTATTACACATCATACAAGCACATATTCCATATCTATCTAATTTTCTACTGACACCCCTATGTCTTTCTTCATAGATATATGTGTAAGGTGTGTTGATATGAGGGGTTGTCTTTAGACAAGTCCATAATGATATTTTCTGGTCCAGTGGCATAAGTAAAAATACACAAATTGGAGAACTGTCACAGCAATGGAATATTTTAAGACCCTACATTAAAAGCAGACTTCACAAGAGGAACTCTAAACCTTTTATGTGTCCTTTTGCCAACTTAATAAATTTGTATGCTAGGGGTCAACAAGGAATTGCAGAAGGGAGCAATTATTTGGAAATCCCACCCTACTCTTCAAAATCAGCATCAACTCTCCAGGGATTGAACAGAGTAATTCCCCATCTTCCTTTAACTGTGGGCCTAACTGTGCATTATCTTTTTTTTGGTGATTCAGGGTTTGTATTTAGTTCCAGAGTTATGCAAATAACGTTTTGCTGGGGCCATTCTGGCTGGGAAAAATGGCATGGAAGAGAAGACAGGAGCCCATATTCCCCCTCAGCATAGTTCCCACAGAATTGGGCTCCTGCCAATTTTTAAAATGACATTCTCTTCATCTGTTATGTTGTGGGGAAAGTGACTCTGGTGTGGGGACCCCTGACATAACTCACCGAAATCCACAATGTGTAGTTTGGCCCTGTCTCTCAGCTGCTCTCATCACCTTCTCTGTTTTCTGTGGATTCTCTGAATTGTTTTGTACCCTAGCACGGTGCTTATGATATGATGACGGTGAGCACAGAACTTCAGGTGAGTTTAAGCAGGTGAAGTTTTTCCTGGCTTAGAGATACAGTGTTGGGAAAAGTTTCACATGTTTAATTTCTTTTTTATCAGTTTTCTATTAAAAGCACGGGAACAAGGCTGGTAAAATATTCTTTCTTCTTCCTCAGGTTCACATGATGCTATTGATTTTTTACAGTCATTTGTTAATAATGTACTTGCACTAATATGGTATCGATGGACATTTATAACAGGAATTTGATGTGAGCCGTAGAAGAAACTGATTATCATATTGGCAGTGTGCTGTCCATTAGATGGGGGACATCTGCTCTACTTGTAGGGGGTGGTTGGGGAGTATTTATTTCCATGTATTACATTTGTTCCTCTTTTCTTCTTTCCCTTTCTTTGTCTCTCAGTTTAGTTTCTGGCTGATCCAAGCCGGATATTAGATGAATTCACAGTGTTGTTAAAATTCAAATTGTATATTCTTGTGACAGAGACTCCTGGCAGCCTTGTTAGTGAAGAACCCATGCATCCTAATTTTTCCCATTTCCTTTCTCCCCTAGGTACCTGATCAATGTTACCTTTGAAGGAAGGAACTTGTCTTTCAGTGAGGACGGCTACCAGATGCACCCCAAATTGGTTATCATCCTTTTGACCAAGTCAAGAACGTGGGACAGGGTAGGATAACTTTGGTAACTTTCAGACTAGGATTGGGAGATAGAGGGCTAGAGATATCCTTCCAAGGGCTGGTTTTCAAGAAGTAGACAGTCCCACTTTTTAACATCTCCGTTGATTATTTGGAACAGCTGGTTACTGGTTAAACAAATAACACATGGACATTCTCTGTTAAGGCTGCACCTCACTTAGTTTGGCACTGTGGCTGCTATCCTATGCAATTAAGCTACTTCAGTCCTATTGAAGTCAATGAGATTTAAACGACTTAATGCAGGAATTCAGCTTATAATATTTAATGTTCATTGAATTGGCTGTATTGACCCTCTGACTGGAGGCTCATAGATGCCCTGAGATAGCCACAACTCATGCAATACCAATAATAAGTACAGATATTATATGTAATCAGGCCAGAATTACCCTCTACAGAATATTATGGACCTGTTGAACAGCAGCTGTGAGTTGCTCATTTCATAAAACTCTGTTCATCTCTAATATGGTCATTTCTGAACTGTATGCAAATTTGAAACCCTCCCATAATGATTTTATTGTATTATTTTTTATTTTAAAATATTATATTTCAAATAATAAGGTATAATTATTTTCACCACCTGAAGCTGCAGAGTGAAAACCCTCTCTCAGATCTTTCCCCCAAAATAGAAAGTTGGAGAGTGGGCATTCACTAACTGGGGAATCTAATGTGAGCACCTGGAAGGTTGCTGCTTTCCTTCCTGTCTGTGTTGTGTCCTGCCTACCCCACCTTTCAAATAACTTGGAAATAAAAAGTTGATACTGATTACATCTTCATCTCCATATTAAATTCCAGGTGAAATTTAAAAAAAACAAACAAACACCCAAATCACATATTGACAAATTCTGGTTTTCTTTTGCTAACTTGAAAGCTCTTTTTGATGTTTTTTCTAGCTTACCAGAACTATACATACCTTAGTAAGACGTGGCTACAATCAGTTGTCTCCTGTCGTGGTCAGAAATGTTGATGGCTTTGAGATGCCCATTGATAGATAAATGCCCAAAGAAAAGCATGTAGAGCTGACTGAACAATGCAACACCAGTAGACTGGTGACATCTCAGAACACTGTCCCTTTTAATTCCCTGGTTTCAGTGGTTTCATGTATATTGTAAAGAAAATAAATGAAAGATGCCCCGCAAGAAAAGCAATGCAGACAAGTGGATAATGTGTGGGTCGGGTTTAACTCCTTGTGATTTCTTTGGAAGGAATAGATCGTCTGATCAGGTGCTGCTCCATCCAATCTTGGAATAACATGCAGCCCCTTTTAGCACTATTTATGTTGAAGATATTGATGAATCTGGCCTCAGCAGGAGGAACATGTGATTTTGTCTCATTGCTAGAAGATCTTCATTCATAGTCTCCAAGGTCCTATCAGTTTCACGGAACTTTCTGAACCCTGCAAATACCCTCTAGTACCCTGTCCCCTTACTGCTTTCTTGCAGAAACGGAAGAAGAATATGTAGGGCTTTCAGTGATCCCTTTTCTTAAAGCGACTTTTGCCAGTATGCTTGATGTAACCCATACTGAAATGCTTGTGACTACATCATTATTTGATGTAACTGGTGTGGCTGTAGAACTGCATTACTGCAAAAACATGGTCGCTGGATCTGGAGATTACTGCTCAAGGACTGTTGTACTCCAACCAGAAGAGCAGGGAGTATGCAGGCTGTGGAAAATACCTCTGTGATTGCCAGTTGCATTGGGCTTTTTTATTTGTTTGAGTTTGCATATAAATTATTGATTTGGTGATGGAGCTAATCTACTCAGTTTTGACCTGGTAACAATCCTAGTCCACTCACCCAGAGAATAAAGTTTTACTGCAGAAGCCCTTTAAACTGCCTGGGTGGGAGTCTGCTGGGGTATATATGCAAGCAGCTTTGAACTCTTTAAAGGTAGAGCAAGGCACAAGGACAATAAATCAATCAATGTAGATCTTGTTGCTTTTGGAAGTGTGACATTTTCTTCATGCAATTGCTTATACTGATCTGTAAATTCAAGCATTGTGCCTGAGCATTCTTACTGACGAAAGAGCAGACTCCATACTAGATAAATTTCTTTATGGGAAATACTGGTTATACATACATACTTACAGGCCAACACATCTTTTCCCCCCCAAAATGGAAATTTCATGCTCCTGGTGGCCCACCCCAGTTAGTAAATTGGTTGCCTCTTTTTGCACAAGCTAAAAATTCTGCTTGCTCACAAAGATAATGCCACCAATGTGCTAGAGCTTACAGTTGTCATCTCCAGGTCTTTGCCAGAAATCACAAAGTCATGGAAATATGTCTGCATACATCGTCTAACAATTTGTAGTTGATTGATACATAATTATTTCATCCAGAAGTGCCACCATATTTAGTTTTTGAACATAAATTAAGAAATTGTCAAATACTATGTTTTTTCTTAAATGCTGTGATGCAGCTTTCTAAGTAGGGTAGAATGCATCATATGCTGCTGTATCCTTGTTTTCTGTAAGCCAAAAATACTTGGCAGAACACTGTTATGCCACATCTCAAGGATGCAACATCTCAGCAGGGTCTTCAGTCTTTTAATAAGTTATGAGAAATGTTTGTTATTAGATATTTGTTATTCCAGTCTCTCTAACAGAAGTGAGAAAGCACTGAAAATTTCAACATTTTGCTGACCTTCATTAGTAGGACAAGTCTCCTTGGAGCTTTTTTGAGGAAAACTAGTGCATATCTCATGTCTTCTTTTTCCCTTTCCATTATGATTTCTCTTCTCATGAAGGATTGCTTTTTTGGAGTGTTGCTGTACAAAAAGGAATTATGGAGAAATGGAAAAAGGACGAGACCATGAGGATTATATAGAACTAATCTACTCATATAATCAATGCAGAAGACTGCTTGGATACAGTGACTCCTTTCTCCCCATATATTTGCCATTTCAAAACAAGGAATGATCCTCTTAACAAGTTCTACACTTTATCCAGCAGTTTATATAATTCATGGGCTTTGATCAGAAAGTGGTTGATTTTACCGATTTTCTTTGTGTAAAATGTTAAATTGTTCTCCCCTGTTTTATGAAATGTCCCCCTGTGCATAGGGATCTATGATTCATTACTGCTGGAGAGATTTAATGCCATGTTTTCTTTCAGTCCTTTAGTGCTGATATAGAAAAGAAAATCCATTCCAGGAAGAAATGTGTTTGTGTATTAGCAGGTTAAAATGGAATGTGGGAATAATGGTTTATCAGATTGTTTTGTGAGCTTGGGCAAACCTCTCTAACTCAGGCTAGTTTCGCACAAGGAGCTGCACCGCCGTCGTGCCTTCCTTTGGCCCGTTTCCATTGGTTAATTTCCCACTCGAAGTCACGTGGCCACATTTTGACCCGCAGCTTCGCCTGATTTTCCCTGCGATTTTGTGATCCTGTTTTTTGAGGATCACGAAACCGCGGGGAAAATCAGGCGAAGCCGCAGGTAAAAATGCGGCCACGCGGCTTCAAGTGGGAAATTGACCAATGGAAATGGGGCAAAGGGAGGTGCAACGACGGCACAGCTCCTTATGCAAAATCAGTCTCAATGACCCATAGTTTACATGTGTGTAATGATACTGCTTCACATTAAAGAGAACTGTATGGTGATAAATATGAACAAGGATATACGTAGTCTAGCTGTTCTAGTTAGAAGTGAGAACTCTATAGATGATTGACCTATGTAAACTCCGACTCATCTGTTTAACATTGTTACAACCGGGAAAACATTATCATCTCAGTTTTCTAGCATATCAACTGTCAGGTAGTATATCTTATTCTGGTCATATGACATATCTTTGTGGCTTTATGATTAATTAAGACTAGTTGCATTTTTTTACACATTCCTCTCTGGAAAATTCACCACTTGTGAAGCCAGTTGTTACTAACTTCTGGAAATACAGTAAAGATTTACTTGATCTTTTTGATCCGATCTCTGTATTATCTGTGAGGTTTTTCTGAGCACAAAGCAGCTTCTTAAGATTATAGTGATTGGTATACTTTTTAAAAATACAGGATTAGTTATGTCTCAGGTCCATAAAAGTCAGCTTTCAGTGCTGTATTTTGGCAGTTTTATATTTTCTTGTGTTTGTTTTGATTTCAGCTGGCAGAATGCTGGAGTATGAAAAATGACTCCTCAGGAGCAGGAAGCAAGAAGCACCAGGGCCAGCAAGTTAACTGCATGTTCAGCAATGGGGCTGCCCCCCAGTGCAGAACTGGGTTCTGGGCCAGAGAGTTAGTACAGGAAACTTGGCAAGCATTGGTTGTTTATGAGCCGATCTAGACAAAGCTGTTGATTCCAACCGGGACTGAGACCTAAATTGTCCTTGAGGAAAGCAGCCCTGATTGTTCTGTGTGTTGTCTCTGGGGTGTCATCCTTCAAGAACCTATTTAGGCCGTGATTTTTTCAGGAGTTATAAGTGCAGAAGCCGTAGTCTTGCTCAGTGGCAGGCTGCAAGCGAGGCACTTCTCTGCAGGGCCCTTTCCTCACAGGCTCATCATCTCCAACAATCTTGACAGTTGCAAGAGGAGCCAGGGGGCTGTGGACTTCAGGTCTCCCCTTATTTGGTTGAGAGATCCTGGGGCTGGAATATTGTCTGAGGTTTCTGTCAGGGTTGCTCTTGATTTGACTTCCTCTGCAAAGCCCTCTAAATCCAGGGCCTCAGGTTCAAGGTGTGGCAGTATAGGTAGTTTCCTTAGCCCCTGGGCCTTTATCAGAGAAATGTTTTCAGCTTTTCCTGCTGTGTAACAGGGAGTCTGTTTCAGGATTGAGTCCTGGAAGGGGCCTGGAATGACCATTCAAAATGTGTTGTAACACCTTTAATTCTTAGTTTAAATAAAACGTGATCTATGCATTGTTAAATATGCGAGATGTGGATTGTTAGGGTTCCAGTTTGGAAGGGAGATCCAGCAGTGGAGTACACATTGTGAACATTTGATCCTGTCATTGATCTCTTGCCTCCTGTTTAGAGGACCATTACCTGCC